TTAATTTGTTTTTTGAGACTTTTTTTTTAATGTGGCCCTGGCTGTATTGTAACTCACTCTGTAGACCAAACTGGCTTCCAACTCAGAGATCCACCTGCCTCTGCCTCCTGAGTGCCGGGATTAAAGAAGTGTGCCACCACGGTCTGGCTTCTCTACATGTTTAAAAGAGAACAACAACAATGAATGGGGACTTTACTTTTATATAGGTTATGGATAAGTGTTATAAGAGCCACTCAGAAGTAAGATATACCCCAAAGCACAGGTATTGGCTCCTCTAATAGACAGGATTGTCTTTAGATTTTAAAAAAATGCGTTCTTGGATTCCTAATCCTCCTGCCTCTGTCTCCCACATGTTGGGATCATAGGTATGTGGTGGTGCCATGTCCAACTTCCTTGGTATTGTTTTGCTCTTTTTTTTTTTTTTTTTTTTGGTTTTTCGAGACAGGGTTTCTCTGTAGCTTTGGAACCTGTCCTGAAACTAGCTCTTGTAGACCAGGCTGGTCTTGAACTCACAGAGATCGGCCTGCCTCTGCCTCCCGAGTGCTGGGATTAAAGGCGTGCGCCACCACCGGCCGGCAATAGCCTTTCTTTTCTGTTAAATTTTGAGTAGAAGAGTCCAAATCCACAGAGAAAGATTAGAAAATTATATAGATAAGTGATTATTTGCAATTCAGCTTGAAGAAATGGTAACAGCATTTTTGGTATATTTATTTAGGTTTGTTCTCAGTAACACTGTACTAGGGCAAAGGAAAACAATAGACAGCGTATGCCTTGAATCCCCACACTGGGAAGCAAAGGTGGAGGAAGTTCTAGAACAGAGAGATAGAGAAAGCAAAAACCTGTCTCAAAAAAAAAAAACCCACAACAACAACTACCAAAATCAAAACAACAACAACAAAATGGTATGTGGTTGGGGAGGAGGAGAGGGAGGATGAAGAGGAGAGAGGCATATGATATCATGGAGAGGCCTCTAAGTAAATACAGACCTCCTTCATCGCTTAAGAGAAAAACAACAGAGCAGGCTAGCTGTAAGTATTGGCAGCAGGGAGGGGAGAGAGAGAGAGACCTTTTGAGTTAGGTGCAGAGATCACCAATGGCAGAAGCTGGACTCAGGAGGATGGCTCGGAGGGAAAGTGAGAGAGCTCAGAATACTGAGGAAAACATGTCCAGACTTTAGCAAGTACCTGAAAGAAAGAAAGAAAAAGAAGGAACAGGGGAAAGTTACACTTTGGACAGGCTGAGCAGCTCCACAAGCGACTGCTGTTCTTTGGTTTTTTGAATTTGGGCCTGGCTATGTAGCCCAGGTTGTCTTTGAACTCACCACCCTGCTGCCCCAGCCTCCTGCATGTTGGGAGTACAGGTATGCATCACTATGCTGAGCTTTGTTTGTTTCTTGCTAGTCATGTGACCTCAAGCAAGTTGCTTAACTTTTCCCTAGCACAATGACCTCATCTCTAGAGTGAACCCAATTGTGATTTCTGGGTGCACTTGTAAGATCCAAAGTCAAGGCCTAGAGTTAGGTTTTGTTCTGTTCTTTTTTGTTGTTTTTGAGACAAGGTCTCGGTATTGAGACTGGGCTGGCCTCCAACTTGGAACAGTCCTCTTGTCTCTGTCTCCCCAGTACTCCCATTACAGGCTTGTGTCACCGTGACCTCAAAATGAACAGCAAATATGAACGGACCACTCTGGCTAGAGGTCAAAACACGAGTGGAGGCTAGGCATGCAGTCTGTAATCTGAGAGCTGGGAAGGGCTGGCCAACCAGGACCTTATATATTGCAGCAAGAAGAAAGGATTTTATTTTCAAAAGACGCCAAAGACTTGGTGTAGTGGCAGAACGTCTTTAATCCTAGCATTACAGAGTCAGGCAGATCTCTGTGAGTTTGAGGCCAGCCTAGTCTACATAGAGTTCTAGGTTCTAGGGCAGTCAGGGCGACATAGTGAAACTCAGTGTGTGTGTGTGTATACTGAAAAGACACTGGCAAGTTTGTTTTAATTTTTTACATTTATTTGTTTATCTGTGTATATGTGTATGGGTGTCACAGCTTGTATGTGGAGGTCAGAGAACAACTTTCGGGATTGGCTCTTTCCTTCCACCATGTGGGTCTTAGGGATTGAACTCAGGTCATCAATCTTCGGGGCAAGCATCTTTACCTGCTGAGCCATCTTGTTGGTCCTAGAGCATTGTTTTTTAATTGCTAATAAGGCACAGGACTGATGTGCATGTACAGTATATATTTTGGGACTACTGCCTGGGGACATCTCACTGTTTGTGGGCTCCCTCTGGTGGAGCTGGTGGTTCATCCTGTATGGTTTCATGTTCGTAAAAGCAAAATACAACAAGCAATTAATTTATCCTTTCATTCAACATGCATTTATCGGGTGTTTACTATATGACATATTGTGTTCTAGAGCTAAAACACCCACAAAAAATAAACATCCAAGTTGGACATCGTGGTACACACCAGAATTCTAGAAAGGGAGGAGGAGAATCACAAGTTCAGTTCTACCCTCAACCACAATTCTAGGTGGAGGTTAGCCTGGGCCATAGGAGACCTTATTTCAGAAAAACAAAAAAGACCTTATTTCAGAAAAAAACAAAAACAACAACCTCCCCAAATACCCCCCCTTCAAACCAAAATCCAAGCCCTCATGGAGCTTGTATTCTCGTAGGCAGGGAGACAGTAAGCCAAACCCACAAGCAACTTGGACAAATGTCACAAGAAAAATCCCTGGGGGGTAAGAAAGTCCAAGGAAGATAATAGTCTTCCTGTTTGTTTTGGGGTTTTTATTGCTGTGAAGAGACACCATGACCATGGCAACTCTTTCTCTGTAGCTTTGGAGTCTGTCCTGGCACTTGCTCTGTAGACCACGATCTCAGACTCACAGAGATCTGCCTGCCTCTGCCTCCTGAGTGATGGGATTAAAGGCGTGCGCCAACACTGCCTGGCACCAAGCAAATCTTATAAAAGAAAACATTTCATTGGGGCTGGTATGCAGTTTCAGAGGTTTAGTCCATTGTCATCATGGCAAGAAGCATGGCAGTGTGCAGGCAGGCATGGGGCTGGAGAAGGAGCTGAGAGTTCTAATCTTGATCCACAGGGAACAGGAGACTGTGTGCCACACTGGACATGGCTTGGGCATATATGAGACCTTAAAGCCTGCCCCCACAGGGACACGCTTCCATCAACAAGGCCCAATAGTGCCTGATAGTGCCATTCCCTATGGGCCAAGGGGTCAAACACAGAAGTCTATTGGGGGGCCATACCTATTCAAACCGCCATACCATTTAAAGTACAGTGTCAGCGACGGTCTCCCTGAGAAGGCACACTTGAATGAAGATGTAAAGGAGATGGCAGGGTGGACAATGCAGGTGTCTGAGGGAAAAGCATTCCAGGCAGAGGTAGTAGATAGCAGATAGTGCCCCAGCCTACTTGCAGGCTTGAAGAGCAGCGAAGGAGACCAGAGTCTTTTTTTTTTTCCAAGATGGCTTCACTGCAGAGTCCTGCTGTCCTGGAACTCATTCTGTAGACCAGGCTGGCTGGGGAGCCACCTGCCTCTGCCTTCTGGAACTGGGATTGAAGGTGTGCGCCACCACCACTTAAGGCCAGGGCATCTTAAGGGAAGGGGTGACAAAAGGAAGTTCACAAAGAGGCAAGCATTCTCCATGACAGAACTAAGTCTTGTGGGTCCCCGAGGCAATGTAAAGATTATAGTTTCTGCCCTGCGATAGAAAGTCATTGGAAGAAGCTTGTGATCTGATTAAGGCTTTAATAAGAGACCCCTGTTCTGGAAGAGGAGCGAAGGATAGCAAGTGTATAAAGAGGACACTCAGAGTCACAGATGAACTGTGACTTATACTCACGCAGGCGGCGAAGGGTCAAGTTCTGCCAAGACTTTGAAGGCAGCGTCTGCTGACTGAGCTAATTAGATGTGGTGTTTGAGAAAGAAGGATTAAGATTTTTACCAAAGTAGTTGCTTAGGAAATTATTGAAATAGAAGCAGTTAATAAAAGTTTTTTCCCTTTTTATTTGTATCTAAAAGATAGCTTTTAAAACAAACTTTGTGATTAATCTAATACTGTATTTGCAATTTGGGTTTTTTTCTTGAGGGTCTCTGAGACTGAATACACTGAAGACTCTAGAAAAGTTGTTTCCACATCCATTCCTTGCCCACACTTGAGTTGTATTTTGAAGTTAATGACGCATTAAAAAAATGTTCCTCTGCGCGTGGTGGTGGTATATGCCATATGCCTTTAATCCCAACAATTGGTAGGCAGGGGCAGGCAGAATTTTGAGTTCGAGGAGGCTAGCCTGGTCTACAGAGTGAGTTCCAGGACAGCCAGGGCTACACAGAGAAACCCTGTCTAGAAAAACCAAAACTAACAAACAAAAAAGCCCAACCAAACAAGCAAACAAAAACTTTCTGGAAACAATGCACACAATGAAGGTGACTGCAAGTGTAACATGCTACTAGGCACAAACTAAAATTTCGGATAAAAACGTTCACTCTGAGTTAGTCTTCCGAGTGTCTTCAAAACTTCCCATTCCTTTTCCTCTCCCAGCTTTTCTAAATCTACGAATCGCAGTCAGTATTCCAGCCTTACTGCACCTTTACCGTAGGAATCACACGCTTTTTAAAGAACTTTTTAAAAAATGAGAGCTGTTAACGTGGAGGCACAAGCCTGTAATACCAATCCTTGGCTTAAGGAAGAGGATCGTGAGTTCGAGACCAACCTGTGCTACGTAATGAGCCCTTTATTTTGATAGGGGGGGAGGGCACAGAAAAGCGGGAGGCTGCAAAGCAGCACCAGGATCTGGCAAAGTGCTCAGAAAAAGACGTGGAGAACGTAAGATCCCAAGACTCAATCAGCGACCTAAGTCGGCGACGTGGGCGGGGCCTGGACCTTTCCCCGCCCCGAGAAGCCTGACGCGTACTCAGGGTTCGGGCGGAACGATGTGTGGATTATGAGGCGGCCCCGTACGGTTACTTCCGGTTCCTAGGGATGCTCATCCGGGTCACGCTAACGCCGTGGTTTCCGCCACTCTGTTGGTTCCAGAGTGGGTCCGTAGCGGTCCCATGTTGTGCCGTGGGGCGTCTGCAGCCTTCGGGTGAGTCTTCGCCGCCTCCGTCGCCGCCGCCGCCGCCAGGGTGTGAGCACGGCGGCTCGGGTGCAGCCTGCAGGGCGACTGCTGAAGAGTTCTTTCCCGGTCCTGCTGGGTGGGGGGTCCCTCCGTCGGCCCCTTGTCCCTGCCGGTCTCCCCTCGAGCCTTTCCCGTCACGCTGGCCTCGCCCCTTCCTCCGCCCGGCCTCTGCCTCTGCACCGGTGTGTTGAGAGCCGGGAGCGTTGGGGTTCAGCTCCGTCCCTCTGCTCTCCTCACCTGTGACCCTTGCCCCCTCCAGGGACTGGTAGATGACAAGAGAGTTTCGCCTGCTTTGGCGGAGCAGCGGGACGAGGGCTCCCTCCGAGCCACGGTCAGGGCCGACTTCTCCTGCCCGGGGCAAGTTTTGCCCCGAGGCAGGGGGTTGGACCGAACCCTGCTCGCTTCCCTAGTTTGCGAATAACAAAGGCGTTCCTGGCTCCTCGCTCTGCCTTAGTTTTCCGGGCTCTCGGAAGAGCAGCGAACAGGTGGCGGGCTCGCCTTTGGGCTTGTGTGGTCTTGTTAATTGACAGGTCTCGAGTACGTCCTGTCCGTTTTTTGTCCTCTGCCCCGCGAGAATGGATGTGCACAGCTGAGGCCAGAATGCGGATGCTCTGCGCTCGTCACGGATTTTAAGTTAGAGGACAGGTGTCAGGACGGAGGACCGCGTTTGCTGGGCGATTACCAGCCCTGGCTTTATAAACTTCACTTTCAGAACGTCTTAGTGTGGCCGTACTGTTTTCTGCTAGAATTCGCTACTGTAACCCATAATGTAACTTATAATGTCCTTATAAGCCAGACATTACCTCTTAGAATGTTATCTTAACTTTTTAGTGTTGCCAGCATAGTTTAGGAACCATGATTTTCTTGTTTTGAGATGAAAGACAAAGACACCTTACATTCTCTGGAGATTTTTAGTGATCTGTAATGTGAAGAGATTAGACTTAGTAATGGTTAGTATCCTGATTCTCAAATTTTGTGATGTAGAGTTATATCTAGAGGTACAAGTTTGGATAATTCGCTGCCCTTTCAGGTTTTGGATGTTTGTAGCATTTTATTGCAGCCGTCATTTTCTTTTGTGTGTCTAAAATTCAGTATTAATAATCTAACACTAACAGAACGAATCCAGCGTTTCTCATTGGTTTCTCTTGGCTGAGTTCTCCTCATATACACACGTGAGAGTGTAGCATAGCCTGGCTTAGTCCGAAACTGGGCACTCTCTTCACCTATTTTTAGCAAAGAACTTTGGAGCTTGTCCGTGTTAGTCTTGGATGCTCCCGAGAAAGACCCTTGTCGTTGGCTTTCAGGGTTTAACTGGTGAGGGAAGCCCCTATGAAATTTATCTGTCCACCTTGTATCTACCCTGAAAGATCAGCCTGACTGCCTCGTTTCCCATCTTTGAAAACAACCCCAGTAACCGTGGCTGGCTCCAGTGACTTCTTTGCCCCTAGGTTTGAAGAATATTTCTTTCTAAAATATAGTTGGCTCACAACTTTCAACTCTTTTTACTTCCGAACTTTATATTTCTTTTCTCCTCTTCTTTACCTTTTCCCCCCTCCTTTCTCCCCTTTTTTGTGATGTGTTTTGACCCAGGCTGGCCAGGCTTGCTGTGTAGCTGAGGATGGCCCTGAACTCCTTCTTGATCCTCCCACCTCCACCTTCTAAATTCTGGATTACAGGCCCGTGCCATCATGCTTGACTGTTTCTTAAGCTTATTTTCAGGCCAAACCCAGTGAGATTTTTATGATCTATAGCCAAAGGGAATTCATTGTTCAAACGTACTCCTTCATGATACCTAGCTTTAAGAATTAATGATGATTTTTCCAAAGTCTTTTATTTATTTTTCCTTTTTTTTATTTAACTGTGTATAACTGCCTGGTGCCAGAGGAGACCAGAAGAGGGCTTCACATTCCCTTGAACTGGAGTTAAAGATGGTTGTGAGCTGTCTTGTGGGTGCTAGAACTCAAGCCTGGGTCCTCTGCAAGAGCAGCTTGTTCCTTTAACCACTGAACCATCTCTCCAGCCCACCAACATTGGGTTTTCTTTTTGTTTGTTTGTTTGGTTTTTGAAACAGGATTTCTCTGTAGCTTTGGAACCTGTCCTGGTCTCTTGTAGACCAGGCTGGCCTCGAACTCACAGAGATCCGCCTGCCTCTGCCTCCTGAGTGCTGGGATTAAAGGCGTGCGCCACCACCGCCTGGCCAAGATTGGGTTTTTTAAAAGAAGTCCTGCACTTGCATTCGGAGTGATGAGTTTTAGTTCTTTGCAAGCTGTGGACTGGTGAGCACAATATAGTATTTGGTGGGCCATATTGATGGACTTAGGATATAGGATTGAAACTCTTAGGATCAAAGATCTATGCCATGGCCTAGGCAATGGTGGCGCATTTCTTTTTAATCTTTGCACTTGGGAGGCAGAGGCAGGTAGCTGTTGGTTTGTTTCAGGCCAGATTGTGTCTCCAAAATAAAAAAACAAAACCTGTAATGTTGATTTGCCATTAAAAGGGACTAGAGAAACTAACAATACAGAAGTAGAAGTTAGCTTTTTAAAAGTGATACTGTCGTGTTGTGGTCTAAATTCTGCACAGACACCCCTAAATGAAATGAAGCTTCTCTACTGCCACTGGAGCAGCCATGCTCACGGACAGAACACTGATAGACCAGACTTTCTAGGTACAGAAGAACGTGCCTTTCTTACTTGGCTGCTGTCTTAGTTACTGTTCTATTGCTGCGAGGAGACATCATGACCAAGGCCACTCCTACAAAGAAAAGCATTAAATTGGGGGCTTGCTTACAGTTTTAAAGGGTTAATCCATGAACTTGGCAGGAAGCAGTCAGGAGAGAATGTGCAAGAACTTGAGACTGAGCCTGGTCCTTGCCTTTAGAAATCTCAGTGCCTCCTTCAAGAAGGCCATCCCTACTCTAGCAAGACATCTCCCAATCCTTCCCAAACTGTTTCACTGAGGACCAAGTATCTAAACATGAGCTCATTCAAACCACCACAGATGCCAGCTCCCTAGTCATGAGAGACTGGCTGTCCTGGAACTCGCTCTGTAGACCAGGCTGGCCTCGAACTCACTGAGATCTGCTTGCCTCTGCCTCCCGAGTGCTGGAATTAAGGACGTGTGCCACCACCACGTAGCTTCACTGTTGATTTTCTATAGCAATTTCTACCTTATGTTTGTTTTAAAGTCTGAGAGCTCAATTTAGAAAGCATTCCTGCATGTTTTAACCTACCACGCTTTCTTGCTTTGGCTTGATCATTCTGGTGGTTATTTTTGTTAACTTACTTGTTACTGTACTTTGTCACAATTGTTTTAATTTTTTCCCTTGTGTTCTATGATATTTAAATGACGATGCAATTTTAAATATTTTAGAAGCAAAATATACCTCCAACCTGTCCTTACCACTGTTTTTTGGATTTGTGATTGCCTGCACTGCCTCATGACTTCATCTTCTTTCTTACCACAAATAAAAAGGCTCTAATAAAGCTTTCTTTTTAGTAGTTATTTGTCTAAAAGATTTTTGTGTATTGCAGGTGATTATATATTATTGTAGTTTGTGCATCATTTAAATGGAGGGCTGGAAAGATGGCTCAGCGGTTAAGAGCACTGACTGCCCTTCCAGAGGACTTGGGTTCACTTCCCAGTGTCCACTTGACAGCTAACAACTGTCTGTAATTCTAAGATTTGATACCTTCACACAGACATGCTTGTGGGCAGAACACCAATGTGCATAAAGTAAGAGTAAATAGATTATTTAAAGAAAAATAAATGGAAGAAGGCTAGTTCAAATAGAAATGTACAGAGTTAGGACTGGGTTATTGTTCCATAAAATGCTCGTAAATAGTTTGTAGCAAAGTGTTGAATTTACAGTAAAGTACTAAGAAAGAGCTGGATTTTATGTTTTACATTAGAGAACATAGCACACGATGGAACATTCTATCTTGGAGCCATTGAATTGACCCAAGCTATAAGGTATCTAGTTAGTAAATGTGGAAGTTTTGGGGTGTTTTTTTGTCCCCTCCCTGAAGTATTTTATTTATAGTAAATTTTTTTTGTTATTTATTTATTTATCTATCTATCTATCTATCTATTTATTTATTTTATAGTAAATTTAAAAGTTAGACATTTAAGCCAGGTGATGAAAGTACATGCCTTTAATCCCAGCACTTGGGAGGCAGAGGCAGGCAGATCTCTGTGAGTTTGAGGCCAACATTGTCTACAGAGCTAGTTCTAGGACTGCCAGGGCTACACAGAGAAACCCTGTCTTGAAAAATTCATTCTTCCCCCAAAATCATAATAAAACCAGAAATTTAAAGCAAAGAACTCATAATATTTATCTTTAATGTTTCCCCCTTTTGAGCATGCAGAATTATTTTAAATCACAAGAAATCTATAGTTTAAATCTGACTTTCTTTTTCTTTTGAGATGGAGTTCACGTAGCCCAATCTGGCCTCCAACTCCCTATATAGATTAGGATGACCTTGACCTCTTAACCTCCTGCCTCCCTCTCCCAAATGTTGGGATTACAGACATGTGCCACCATGTGTACCCTAATAGTGGTTTATTTTAAACAAGTTAACAGACCAGTCCAGTGTAGATAGTATTTAATATCTTATAGATCCTACAGATTGTGGTGGATGCACTTTAACTTATTACTTTGGTTAATATTTGTACCAGCTAGATTTTTTTCCTCCAGTAAAATAGTGAGCAGTAATCTTTGTAGTACAGTTCTTTCAGTAAATAGAAATTGGATGTCTACTGTGTCCATTATAATATTACGTATTTGGACTGCTTACATGAATCAGATGCTCTTGTATAGGACCAGCAATTATATTAAACTCCAAATCTCATCTTGTTTATAAATTTCTGAGTTAAATAAAGACTTAACATAATTAGAATTAAACTACTTTAAGAGGAACATTGTGCATATTTGTAAGCCTGGCACTTGGGAGGAAGTAGAAATTTTG